AAGACCTTTTTTTTTTTTTTTTTTTTTTACTCTTCTGTCAAGTTCATCCCTTCCTAATGCTGGGGGCGGCATCAAACTTTTGAACTGCAATATATATATATATATATATGTATACAGGCTGATGGATTAATTGTTGTCTAAATGACACAAAAATGAAATAACACTGAAATCTCATTTTAACAGATATATTTACCAAAATTACACAAAAATATCTTGAAATACTAAAGAGTAAATTTATTCAGTAAAATCACCATTAGATTCAACAATGGCCTCCAGACAACTTTGGAATCTCTTGCATTTCTGCTTATTTAAGTTGGTGAATGCTACCATCGTCATTGCCCTCAGTTCATCTTTGGTGTTACAAGGAGCTTTGTTGATCTCTCACTTAACTGCACAACACACATAATAATTAATGAGGTTGCTATCTAGGGATTTAGCTGGCCAGATGTAAGGGATGATGTGGTTGAAGAAATTGTCTGACACCCATGACTGGGTTCTCCTGCTTGTGTGGCATGATGCAGAGTCATGTTGCCAAACATAGGGTCATCCAGGAGCCACCCTCTTGACCCAGGGTACTTGATTTAGGCCTCAGTGTTGTGTCTGAGGATCTCACCAACAATTTCAGAGTGAGTTTTCTGAGCTGCTGTACCTTTGTAATCACCATTAGACTCATCTAACTCTTTACGAATTGTCTGCACTGTCCTCAGATTGACACCCAAACACTCTGAAATGTTTATATTGGAGCTTTCAGCTTTAATGCCAAGCAGCACAACATGCCATTTCCAAATTTCTGGTGTAATCAATTGCTTCATAGTGCTCTTTTTCTCACAGATGGGGCCCAACTGACCTAATATTCTGTGCAGTTGACAAAGTCAGAAACAATGTGCATGCATGAAATTAAAAATATAAAATGATGACAATTTACCCATCCCACACTTTATTTTATATATGTACATTTTTATATATATATATATATATATATATATATATATATATATCTCAAGTATGTGATGCAGTTCAATTTACATTACATGAATCATTCATACAAAAAACAGATATAGAAGTTAATGATTTAAATGGCGAGAATACATCCTCACAAACAAATTTAATGAAGTACACTAACCCCGAACCTGTATATGAATGTTATGATCCCTGTTTATAAATTCCAGTTGCATAAGGTCATTTTTTTTGTTTTTTACAAGCTTTCGTCTGTTCATACAGGCATCTTCAGGTATGGAAATAGATTTGTTTTTGTTTTTTACTTCTTGGTAATAACAGGACAATGAAAATATAGATGTAATCCGAAAAATGTTTTTAGAAATGTGCTACTGCCAACTGCAAGAAATTTTATTACTTCATTAAATTTGTTTGCGAAGATGTATTCTCGCCATTTAAATCATTAACTTCTATATCTGTTTTTTGTATGAATGATTCATGTAATATATATATATATATATATATATATATATATATATGAGAAATATATATCCTCCCTGAAATTATTCATACAGATTACCAATTAACTTTATCATATTTTATATATATATATATATATATGTGTGTGTGTATGTTTTATATGTATATTCTATATATGTATATTTTTATATATTAAATTATATCACTTAGCATCCTCCATAAATTACCTTGACTTTCAGTTAGCCTGATGAATATTTATGAGCATTCTTACATTTAAAAATTCTGTAAAACTACCAACATTTTTACTTCTGTTTATAAATACTTGTCACGAAATAAAATCCTTACATTTGCCTTAATAAAGTCCATCAGAGGATGAAATACTTCAGCTTTCCTTCTGTTTCATTCACACACAAACTCACACACATATGTGTGTGTGTGTGTGTGTGTATATATATATATATATATATATATATATATATATATATATATAACTATACAAACTTATTCCAGTGTGCAAAATCCTCTTTGGGGATGATCATCAGTTGTCTTGTTGCATTGTCTTTAATCTCATTCATGAGGTTTTGATAGAAATTTTTATCATTGGGAAAATTCAGTTGTAGTAAAGTAGATGAAATATCTAGATGATATATTTTTTATTATCCAAGCACCACTCAATATAGAAGGTAGTTATTGGATGAGATTATCAAATGCACATAAGAGGAGGAAGTTAGTGCAGATTATGAGGATATGTAGGATAGATAATGGTTGACCCTAGAAATGAAACAATTAAGATTGTAGTGGATCAGGTAAGCATCCTTTTGTGAGTCTGTTTCATAAAGTAACTGTTCTTGAGAAGAAATTGTCTGAGTGGAATATGGCGGGGATGAGGATAATTCAACTCTGTGAACACATCGACTTGTATAATAAAATCAAGGTTGTGTAATGTCTCCTGAACTTGGTTGCTATTTTCATATCCTTTAGCTCTCTTCTGACATCTCTTGTAGTTGGTAATCTCCCAGGAATTTCAAACCAAACACTATTCAACCCATGGAGTAGATAGTTCTTATTTTGCTGTTCATACTGAAAAGATATCCTCTCTCTTCCATGCTTTTGCACTTTCTGCCCCAGAGATTGACTAATGATCACCAGATAATTTGATTCGCTTCATGTATTTTGTGTATGGATCAGTTATAATAAATATAGGAAATAGATGGCAGTAGGGGGTTCTTTTGTCCAACACCCCAAGATGCTATAAACTCAAAATATTAAACTGAAGACTAGAGTAATGATCTGAAATAGCCTCGTCAGATCAAGATTTTCATATGGATATCATACTCAGTGTCCAACTCGATCAGAAATGACTAAACTATGATTTGTATGCAAATATTTTCTCAGGTCAGTGAATAAAATAATCTCAAATAAATCCTATAAATCTGTTACTGTAGAAATGATTTTCAATGTTTAATTTAGATATTTTGTGGATATCTCTGAGATTCTTTGGGCATACTGTTTATCTCAGAGATGCTTTGGGCATACTGTTTATCTCCGACATGCTTTGGGCATACTAGTTATCTCTGAGAGGGTTTGGGCATACTGTTTATCTCCGAGATGCTTTCAGCATACTATTTATCTCAAAGATGTTTCCGGCATACAGTTTATCTCAGAGATGTTTTGGGTATACTGTTTATCTCCAAGATGCTTTGGGCATACTAGTTATCTCCGAGAGGGTTTGGGCATATTGGTTGCCTCTTGGATATTTTGTGCATAATGGTTGTCTCCAAGATACTTTGTGCATACTGGTTGTCTCCGACACATTTTGTACATAATGGTTGTCTCTGACACATTTTGTGTATACTGGTTATCTCTGGAATATTTTGGGCATCTTGGTTATCTCCAAAATCTGTAACAACTAAAATGGGTAATACATATAATTTTAAGAGAAGACAAGGATATAATTAAGATGTTGACTTTCCACACTACCTTAAACAAAAAGTTAAAAAGGAAATCCCCATCAGTACTAGAAAGAGTGATAACAATTAACAAACTTGAGAAGATTAAAGATTGCTAAAATATATTCAGGAAAATTCCTGAAAATATTTTGGCAATCTTTAACCTTCCTGCTCATAAGGGGGTGGTTTGTCAAAGAGACAGTTTTTCCATTGGCACCCCTATTATTTTAACTACATTCACTCCTCGGCAATGTTTAATCTTTTAAAAAGCAATGATTAGAATTGTAATAAAGCCTAAACATATGATGAAAGTGAATTAATATATTTTTTTTATTCATGAGAATTTATAAAAAAGTATTAAAAAATATTTATTAGATTGCTTATTGACAAGAGTAACATCCTAGAAACTAATACAATTAAAACTAATTCAATGCAATATTTATCATATTCCCATTTAGAAATAAATATGGAAACAATTTTTAATTCATAAATTCATAAACATTTACTAAATTATTAAAATATATGAACCAACTATAAGGAAATCCTTATTATTTACCATTTTATAAAGTTTGAATCAATTGGCAATTATTAGCCGATGTTTTGCCAACCATTCGAATAAACAATCTAATAAATAAATAATGTTTATTATTTTTGTTGTCAATTCTCAAGAACTAAGAAAATGTATAAATTCACTTCCATATTTACATTATTTACATTGTTAGGACTGTTGTCCTCATCTTTATTGTAATATTCATGAAGTTTCGGACATTGTATACGCCGGTCTTCTCCAGGTGATTGGGATTTCTAACTGAACCCTTTATTTCATCTGCCGGGGTTCAGTTCAAAATTCCAATCACCTGTAGAAAACTGGCACGTACAATGGCTGAAATGTTGTGAATATGGTGATAAAGATGAGGACAACTGTCCCAACAATGTAAATAATGTAAATAGTTATAATAATACCTCATCTCAGAAATATAGACAGATCTTGAAGACGGCCGGAGCATACAATGGCTGAAACCTTGTGAATATGGTACTAAATAATTACAATACCTCATCTCAGAAATATAGACAATAACTTCCATATGTTTAGGTTTTATTAAAATTCTAATTGTCGCTTTTTAAAACAATAAATATTGCAGAGGAGTGAAGGTAGTTAAAATAATAGTGGTGTCAAGGGAAAAACTGTTCTTTTGACATTATATCTTATTAAGGGCCCAAAGGTAAAAGATTACCAAACTTTTTTAAGAGAAAGATTTTATAAATATTAACCAACGGTAACACAGTTCGCTCAACAAATATGAATATTTCCTATATGGAAAGAGCTAATTTCTAAATTTACTAACATGTTTCTTTATTCACCCATTACTGACATAAAGTCTCTTCTTCATTTTGATGTCACACTGTTTCTTTAAACAGTTAAAGAGTAGGCCAACCTCTAGTGTTGATATAAAAAGAAATAAGAAATGAAAAAAAAATGAAAATTAACTAATTTCAAATAACTTTAGAAAAAAAATGTTTTTTATAAAAATAATAAAGTTTCTTGTTTGTAGCATGTACCTAATTTACTTGCTTATAAACACAGAAATCTATTATTTATTATTAATATCCCCCCCCCTGCCACCTCTACTAAAGGCTATCTGAGAAGGCAACTGTATGTAAGAGAGAGGAAATCAGTCTCTCCCTCTTTCTCCTGTGTGAGAGAAAACTGAGTCTTTGAAGGTGTGGTGTGTTTTTCACACTGTTCTGGAATTTTAGAAATGTCTGTCTATTCCCTGTCTAGTGTGTCCAGTGTTAATGGTAAATGTCTGATAAAAACTGGAGTCAAGGAAGGGGTTCTAGTTTGGCCATAAATGGCAGATAATTAGTAAAAAAGAAAAAAAAATTATTATTGCTAATCTTGTTTTATAAAAATATACATATTTAAAATTTTTTTTTTTTTTTATTTAATAAGGGCTGTTTTTGAAGAAACTCAAATGACTAATTATAACATTTTTATTTGATAACTCTCTTTCTCTCTAACCCTCTTTATTTAGTGCGTGACTGTCTGTCTGTGCAACTCTCTCTCTCTCGCTGGTCCTCTTATTGTATGCCTTACTCTCTTTTTTGTTCCCTCTATTTAGTGCATGACTGTCTGTCTGTCTCTTTCGCTCTTATCCTCTTTATTTAGTATGAATCCTGTTGTCTCCTTTTCTCTCTGGCCCTGTTAGTTTTAGTGTGTCCTACTGTCTGTCCTTCTCTCTAGCCCTCTTTAGTTAATGCCTTTCTGTGTTTCTCTCTCTCTCTCTAATCCTCTTAATTTAGAGTGTTTCTTGCTGTCTCCCTTTCCCCAACTGGCCCCGTTGATTTAGTGTGTCCTATTGTCTGTCTATCCCTCTCTCTAGTTCTCTTTATTTAGTGCCTGTCTGTCTATCTCTTCTTCTCTTTGATCCTCTTTATTTAGTGTGAGTCCTGCTGTCCTCCTTTCTTTCTCTGGCTCTGTTGATTTAATGTGTCCTATAGTCTGTCCCTCTCTCTAGCACTCTTTAATGTATGTCTCTCTGTCCTTGTTTCTCTCTCTCTCTCAGTCAGCCTCTCTCTCTCCAATCCCCTTTATTCAATGTGTGTCCTGATGTCTCCTCCTCACTCTGGCCCTGTTGGTTTAGTGTGTCCTACTGTCTGTCCCTCTCTCTAGCCCTCTTTAGTTAATGCCTTTCTGTGTTTCTCTCTCTCTCTCTAATCCTCTTTATTTAGAGTGTTTCTTGCTGTCTCCCTTTCCCCACCTGGCCCCGTTGATTTAGTGTATCCTATTGTCTGTCTAACCCTCTCTATAGTTCTCTTTATGTAGTGCCTGTCTGTATGTCTCACTCTCTCTCTCTCTGATCCTCTTTATTTAGTGTGAGTCCTGCTGTCTCCCTTTCTCTCTCTGGCCCTGTTGATTTAATGTGTCCTATAATCTGTCCCTTTCTCTATCACTCTTTAATGCATATCTCTCTGTCCTTGTTTCTTTGTCGCTCTCTCTCTCAGTCAGCCTCTCTCTCTCTAATCCTCTTGTGTCCTGCTGTCTTCCCTTCTCTCTGGCCCTGTTGATTTAGTGTGTCCCACTGTCTGTCATCTCTCTAGTTCTCTTTATTTAGGGCTTATCTTCCTGTCTCTCACTTTCTCACATTTTTGTGGCCTTTTTGAAGTGTTTACTTGTCTCTCTTTTCGGCCCTCTTTATTTAATGTGTCCTCTCTCTCTCTCTCTCTCTCGATTTAGTGTGTCCAACTGTCTGACTTTCTCTCTCTCTAGCCATCTTTACTATGCATGTGATAGGCTCTCTCTATTTTCTCTCTTTCTCTCTCTCTCTGTTGTCCTGTTTATTTAATGTGTACCTGTCTGTCTCTCTTTTGGCTCTCATAGTGCAAACCTGACTAGGATCCACATTAGTCTGTGGCTGTGCATGCTTGATATATAACATAATGTGCATATATAAAACATGCATGCATATGCAATACATTGCACATTAGCATGACAAAACAGACAGAAGTTCAGAAAAATGAATTTGCCAACCAGAATTCAAATTCTCATTGAGTCTGTTGTGTGTTAGAGAATATTAGAAAGAATAGGAGAAAAAGAAAAACATTATTAAGGAGAGAAAAGAATAAAAGAATAAAAAGAATAAAAGAACAAGAATAAAAAAACAAAATTAAGAAGACAGAAAATAACAACTGACACTGCATTTACATTTTTGAAGATCAAAGTTGACTGAAAATCAAAAAGCCACAAGAGAGTTCCACAAGCGAGAAGTGCAATAGAAGAAACTGTTAGCATAGAACTTATGGTTACATCTGGCCATTTCAAATGTAAAATGATTAGACCTTTCTCCTAACCTAGTATTGCCTTTGAATTCATAAACTCTATGTACCATACAGGAAAGTTCATTAGAGCAATTTTAAACAGGAGTAGAAGTTTAACCCTTGTTCCCTGTTTAGGATTGATTTCCAGTTCCTTCTAAAGTCTACTTCAATTCTATACTTCTAACATCTCCGAGTGAACTTTGAATTGTTTTATACTACATAATAATTTTTTCTCCTCCCCCAATAGAAGTAGATGGGCTTACCTATCATTCAGTTCATACTCCCCACTAATTTTTTGAACAGGTGTAGTAGTATATCACTTGTTTCCTGTTTAGGATTGAATTTTCAGTTCCTTCAACTCTGTACTGACATCTTCAACTGAAATGTGAAATTTTATTCAATAATTATTATTACATTTTTCCTCTTCCAATAGGAGTAGATAGATTTGCCTATAGTCTGGTTCACAATCTTCCCCGGTCTTGTGAACAGGAGTAGATGTTTATCCCTTGTTTTCTGTTTAGGATTGGGTTTCTGGTTCCTTCTAAAGTCTACTTCAATTCTATACTCCTAATGTCTCTGCCTGAACTTTGAAATTTTATTCGCTAATTAATTCATGGCCTTTTCAAGTCTAGAATTAGCTGTCTATCTTTCCTGTTATCTAGCTCTTATGCCAATATAACACCACACAGTAACCCTCTACCTTGAGTGGCCCTCTGGGTTTTGTATTGGGTGAACATTAGTAAGAAAAAAATTTGCCTTGAAAGTATTTATAGAAAAGGCACCGGGAAGCTATATTATGTCAGTGGGAAAGTCACTGAAGGCGAGATGCCAGGTCAGGACCAATAATATTGCAGATTCTTCTTTGAATTTTATCAAGAATCTCTAAATACATAGCAGAAACACCAGATCAGACATGGAAGTATTATTCAATGACTGGGCGAATGGTAGACTTATCATTTTTTAAGATAGATTCTGGCAAGTCTTTTCTAGCAGAATATTATAATCTTTTTCTTCAGGACATGGGCGATCATGGCTCTCCACAACTTCTTATCCATTATGGCCCTTAGTAGTTTCTTCTTCCTTTGCTAAGAAGGCTAAAGTTCTGCCATCCATTCATGCATACCCAGCTCACTACCTTTCCCTATCTCTCTTACCTTTAATATATTCTGTAAGGGTTATGTTTTCCAAGCCCACCTCCCTCATTATGTGTCCATAGAATTTCAGCTGTTTCTTTCAGTTCTTTTTGCTACCATTTTCTTTAAGACTTCCACGTTCATGGATTCCCCTCCCCACAGATGAAGAGAAAACTGGGGAAAACAGAAATGTGGTTCTACAGAAGAATACCATTTTCTTCTAGTAAAAGACATGAATTCTCTTTTCTCAGCATTTTGTCCTATCATCTGCTGCCTTTATAAAACCTCTCATTACTGGTCTGCTACAATGGTTGAAAGTTTGGGTGAGAGAATAGATACATTGGAAATCCACTCTCCTGTAATTCACCCTCCCTAAATAATAATGTATTATTTTAATTTACCCATGCACACACGGACTCTCCTAGCTATAAATAGGAGCAGGTACTGCCTTTTGGAGAGGGAAGTTTTCAGCTGTCAGCTCTAACAGTCGGACTGAACATTCTTGCTGTAACACTCTCATTTGTATATGTTCGTATTACTGTTTCTGTTAATATATTTGTTTAATTCAATTCCTCTCTTTGTCTTTATTTCTGGCCCTAACAAGGCCACAACATAATGGTAAAAAGTTGTTACCTACACAGTTAACATTGACAAAGACAAAAATCTATTAAGTGTGCTGGGGGTGAAAACTTACCTTATTTGTTGGTCTATAAAGTTCACTCCTTCTATCAAAATATCCAGATATTAGACATAATTTAACATATTAATGTACTCATAAAATCTAGTATTAATTAAAAGAATGAGAAAAAAATTTAACATTAATTATATAAATTTAAATAAAATTCTGGTATCAATTATAAAAATAAAGATCTGGTATGAATTATGAAAACTGAAATAAAACTCCAGTATCAATTTTAAAAATTTAAATAAATCTCTGATATCATTTATAGGTTTCTACTTATAACAGGACTGGATTTAAGCTTCAAGAAGCCCCTGAGTTAATAAAACTTGGGGGTCCCTTCATTATATGTGTTCACTCCACCATGTCTATAAAAAAAAGATATTGTTTTAGATGATTTCTTTGTTGTAAAATATGAAATACTTCAAGCAAAATTTTGAATGGTTTTGGAACTCATCCAATTTATTTCATTAGCAAATTTATGATATTTTTATCTGAACTTTACATCCTACAGAAATGTCTCTCGAATGAAGAGCCTGTATTGCACTGAAATTCTAGGATTGAGATGATGGAGAAGGAAAATTCTGTGTTGTTACAGCTTTCATTCATCAAAAATCTATATGAATATAAGAAAGATGCATCAAAATTTAAAGAGGCCATATTGAATTTAAAAGACCCACTTCAACTAGAGATGCCTAAATACTCTAAATCGTTTCAAATTATTGCAAAGGTGACCCATTAAATCTGAAAATAAACAAATCTTCTCCGTTCTTATATCTTTATTTTTTTTTGTTTTATCTGGGGTCCAAGAGTAGAAGGCTCTTGAGCATTTCTCTAGTCTTGTGATCCCTGTGTTGCAGGTCATATTAGCCCATATGTAAATCTGGCATTGCCTGTGACCCATTAAGACCCACTGTCCAAAAAAGAGGTTAGTGAGTTTTAATGCATGAATGTAGTAGTATTCACAATAGAAGATGATTGCAAACGCACACATGCTCTCTCTC